CCGAGGCCGTCAATTGCAGGTTGGCCGACCCATTAAACCTGGCCGGAGCCTACCGCCAGTAAAGAGGGAACCTCGGTAACCCGCCAAAGTGGAACACCTCATCTTTCAGCGGGTCGACCTCCACGAGCAAAACCCGGAAAAACTCTTGTTTGAAATTTTTGTAAGACTGGGAGTAGAGAGAAAATAATCCTCCATCCTTACTACCGTTCAAAGAAACCCAACCATAGGGAGGTACACCCAGTTTCAGTTGGTAGAAATGAAGAAAAACAAGGAGAGATACCCCTATCCCTAGGGTCGAGCACATGACCTGGAAAGCCCTAAAAAAAACCCCAACTATTAGGGTGCAACTAGCAAGGAGCCGAGTTGACAAAATTTAAAAAATCACAATCAAATTGGGTAAAGGGAAGGCATACGCCTAAATCCCTGAAGAAACACTAGTACATGTAAAAGAAGGGAGGGTCAGGGGTACCCCCCATGTATACACGCTCACCGGGCTGACAAGGTTCAAGCCGGATAAGCTTAGAAATGGATGGTTCACAGATCCTATGTGATTTCCACATCGCATTAATCTCCATGAACGACTTGAAGATGCTTTGAAATTCCCCGACGTCACCCCTGACCCATTTGTAGCCAGGGCTCATAAAAGTCGGAAAATTTGGTTAACTTAATTCATCCTCCCTCTTAAGTTATACGAGGCTATTTGACTAACAAGTGGTATCAAGAGCAGGTTGCTTGTATAAGGCTTAAAAGCTTCAAGAATTGAAATGGCCTCATCAAATTTTTTATTTCCCGAAGGAAACTCTATTAATAGACCTCTTATATTCAATGGTGAAGGTTATCATTATTGAAAATCTCGGATGCAAATTTTTATAGAAGTCATAGATTTAAACATATGGGATGCTGTTGAAAATGGTCCTTTCATTTCCACTATTGTAGTAGGCAATGAAATAAAAAATTTGCCTAAAGACCAGTGGAGTGATGATGACAAAAGAAAAGTTCAATACAATTTGAAAGCCAAAAATATAATTACTTCTACATTAGGCATAGATGAATATTTTAGAATTTCAAATTGTATAAATGCAAAAGAAATGTGGGATACATTAAAAATAACACATGAAGGCACAAATGATGTTAAAAGATCTAGGAGAAACACTCTCACCCATGAATATGAATTATTTAGAATGAATCAAAAAGAAATTATTCAAGACATGCAAAAGAGATTTACACATATAATCAATCATCTTGCATCTCTAGGAAAAATATTTCCAAATGAAGATCTTATTAACAAAATCTTGAGATGTTTGAGTAAGGAATGACAACCAAAAGTAACTGCAATTGCTTAATCAAAAGATTTGTCTACCATGTCTCTTGAATCTCTATTTGGAAAACTTCAAGAGCATGAATTGGAATTGATGAGACTAAGTCAAAATGAAGATAGTGACAAAAAGAAGAAA